GCAATGTGGCTCTCGCCTAAGCGCCGCGGACACTCGTCTTACACAAATGCAAAGGGTTTCACGGACCGAGGGCGGGCGCTTGTCAAAATGTGGCCCTCGCCGTAGCGCCACGCACACTCGTCTTATAAGTGTGCAAAAGGCTTCACGGATAAAGGGCGGGTGGTTTTCAAAATGTGGAACTGGCCTTAGCGGCGTGCACATTCGTCCAAAAAGCTTGCAAGAGTTTCACGGATGGTGGGCGGCACCTTTCCAAAATGTGGCTCTCGCGTTAGCCCCGCGCACATTCGTCTTAAGATTCTAAACCGGCTTCAAGGATTCGCATGGCTAACGTCCAAGAATTGGCGTGTTGGTGCGATGTAAGACAATCAGGGCGCAACAGTTACATTGATTCGATCCCAAGAACGGCACTCTGGCTCGATTCAGGATCGTCAGGACGCAACCGTAACGTTGACTCGCAGCTTTGAAACCCCAGGAACAGTGTTCTGGTACGGCTCAGGAATTCAAGAAGGTTGTCTTCCACCGGGGCACTTCCTTCAGCAGCGATGAATCAGTGCAGGGACCTAGAAAGATGGGTCGTGGAAGGAGGGTTGATTGAAGTATCGTTAGTGAGTCTTGACTTTACGCTGATCCTCCTCCTGCTCCTCGTCTTCTTCCTCCTCGCCGTCCTCCTTCTCCTCCTTTCATCCCTTTCCTTATAAACAACTCCTCCCTGCCGCTCCCCCAGACGTGTCTGTAGGGCGGGCCGGGCGTTTCGCCGAAGACTCATTCACCACTAATGACCCTGAAATTTGAACACTAGCTTCACGGATGGACAGCGGGCCGTTTTCAAAAGGTGGTTCACGCTTGAGTGCCGCACACAGTTGCCTTACAAGTTTGCAGCGTTTCGCAGATGGAGGGTGGCTCCCTTTTCAACATGTGGCTCGCGCCTTAGCGCTGCTCACATGAGTCTTAGAAATCAACTCAACGGATAGAAGGCGGGCCGTTTTCGAAACGGAGTTCTTGCCTCAGCGCCGCGCCCGTGTGCTTTTAAAATGTTCACCATAGCTTCACGGATGGAGGGCGCGCCGTTGTCAAAATGCGGCTCAAGCCTCGGTGTCGCGGACAGATGTCTGAAACGCTTGCGACAGTTTCACATGATGGAAGGCGGTCCCTTTTCAAAATGTGACTCTCGCCTGAGTGCCGCGCACATGTGTCTCAAGAATTGAAACAGTTTCACGGATGAAGGGCGGGCCGTTTTCCAAATGTGGGTTTCGCCTGAGTGCTGCGCGCGTTTGCCTAAAAAGTTCGCAACCGTTCCAAGGATTTGGGTGGCTCCTCTTCAAAATGTGGCTGTCGCCCCAGCGCCGCGCAAATTTGTCTTCAAAGTTCGCAGTAGCTTCAAGGACTCGTATGGTAGAAATCCAAACAATGGTGTTCTGGCACGATTTTTGACTGTCAGGGCGCAACAGTCCAGTTGATTCGCGGCGTTGAACTTCAAGAATTATGTTTTGGCACGGTTCAAGACTGTCAAGACGCGAGAGTCACGTTGAGTCGCGGCGCTGAAATCCCAGGAATGGTGTTCCGGCACGGTTCAGGATTCTCAAGCGGTTGTCTTCCAAGTGGGCACTGGCCGCAATGAAAATAAAGTCTTGTAGGGACATATGAAGAGGGAACTCGGAGGGAGGATGTATTGCAACATCAAAGATGCGCCTTGCGATGACAATGGTCCTCCTCCTCCTCCTCCTTTTCCCCATCCTCCTCCTCCTCCTCCTCCTCCTCCTCCTCCTCCTCCTCCTCCTCCTCCTCCTCCTCCTCCTCCTCTCCTCCTCCTCCTCCTCCTCCTCCTCCTCCTCCTCCTCCTCCTCCTCCTCGTCTCCTCATCCTCCTCGTCCTCTTCCTGCTCGTCCTCTTCCTCGTCCACCTCGTCGCTCTCGTCCTCGTCCTGGGTGCGCTGATCATACAACTGCTTCACTGCATGCTTCTCTATACTGTCCTGATCAATGCAAAGCACCTGGGTATCGCTTCTGGATGGACTGGTCGGGATATTTTTTTGTCAGCGGCCGCAGGCGAGCGCCCCAGCGGCAGGTCCAGTAGAAGCGGGGCACGCAACGACGAATTAACCTAAAGCGACGGGGCGCAGCCACACCTAAAGCGGCGGGACGGAGCCTCACGCAGCACCTCGGCGGCGAACCGGCGAGTGGAAGGGACTGGCTGAAGCTGAATACCAGTACTGCCAGGGTGCACGGACTGGTCGGGATATTTTTTTTTACAGCCGCAGGCGGAAGCGCCGGCGGCGAGCAGTCACGGTCGGGCTGCGGCCGCGACTAAATTCCCGGGCGCGCGCGGGAGCCGCGGATCAGGCGGCGAGGGGGGCGGCAACCCAGGGCGTCTGAGAGGCCAGGCGGTCGTGCAAGCCCAGGGAGTCTGAGGGGTCAGTCACCTGAGGCTGGTCGGGATACGCGACGCGTCAATAATTTCGAACAGGATCCGGCCGTGGCCACGACGGCGCCACGGGACGATCAAACACTCCCAGAAACCGACCCCCGATCCCCTGACCCTCCGCTGCGTCGCTCTTCGGCCACAACTCGGGGCTGCACCGGCCGTTCGCGACGACCCCGGGTATCCCCGGAACGCTCTCGACGAGGCGCACCTAGGGAAACACCGCGGGCCTCGACAGCTGCTGGAACAACACGAGACAGCGTGCAAAACTCCCCCGCCCCTCCTGGAGCCTCTCGCTCTCGCTCTCGCGCTCTCTCTCGCTCTCTTTCTCTCGCTTTCTCTCTCTCTCGCTCTCTTTCTCTCGCTTTCTCTCTCTCTCTCTCTCTGTCGTTCGAACGTTCGCCGTGGGCGCGCCCGCGCCGCCGCGCGCGAGGGGCGCCCCGCTCAGCGCGCCCAGACGTCCCCCGAGGCGCCGCACTTGAAAGCCATGCAGCACGGATACGCCGGGCACCGCACCGTCTTGCACTCGGACATGCCCCCGTTGGACGTCAGGTTGCCGAGGGCGGGGAGGGGGCAGAGGGGGGGGAAGGCGGGGCGAGGGCGAGAGGGGGGCGAGGGGGGGGGGGCGGAGGGGGGGGATGCTGCACATGGAAAACATGGAAAACGAGTCCAGCCGGGGGGGAGGGGGGAGGGGGGAGGGGGGAGGGGGGGGGAAAGGCGGGGCGAGGGGCAGGGGGCGAGGGCAGCGCGATTGGGGGGGGGGGGGGGGCACTGCCTCTGGGGAACAGGCCCCGAGCAGAGCAGCGCGCGCCCCACGACGGCGACGGCGCCGCGGACGACGACGGAGGCGCGCGGCGCGCGGACGCCCCCCGGCCAGAGCACAGATTTGAAAGAAAAGGGCCCACCCTGCAGGCTCGGTCAAACAGCACACGGCTGAGGGGTGATGCAGCCTCCCCTGAGCACCGGCGTCCTGAGAAAGGAGGCACGGCCTGCCAGCAAGCAGGCAGGATCTCCCAGAGAGCAGGCAAGGCCTCCCGAAAAAGGTACGCGGGGCACCCCGGAAGGTGCGCCAGGACCACGCAGGAGCAGCAAGGGGGGACCTCCCGACGAAAACAAAAAACAGGACCGATCCCGAAAAACAAGCAGGACCACCAGGGGGAGGAGGAAGGGGCACGCCGCCTGCGCTCGCGCCGCGTCTGGCATCCTGCCCCTCCCGCCCCTCCCTTCCCCAGACAAGCGCGCTCCAGGATTCGCAAAGTATATAACTACGGCAGGTCTGCGCCGTGCCGCCCCCGGCGCTGGTTCCTGACACCGCGGGGATCGTTCCAGCTCGAACGATCGGCCCTGTCAAAAAGCCAGATCGTTCAAGGATGGGCCGCTTCTGGGCCGCAGGCGTCGTTCCACCTTCAAAGCCTGGGCTAGGGTCGCCGCCGGTCGACGCGGCGCAAACCTGCCGTATACTCGCAAGTGGCCTGGCTCAGCCGCGGGGCATCTGCGATCCGTCACGTCGAGGCAACCGGCTACCTACCAGACCACCCCAACCCAACCCGAAGACCCGAATTTCGGGTTGGGGGGGTACGGGCTTCATGTGTGTGTGTTTTTTCAATGTTCCCCGACCCCCCCCAACTGGAAATGGAGGGCAAATTGAGGCCTTCGGGTTGGGTTGGGGTGGTTTGGTCGGTGGAACGCGCTCGGTGATTCCCGTGGCACCGATGGCTTCTCTCTTTGCTCGCGGACGCGTGCCATCGCGGACCTAGAGCCCCCGAAAAACAGAACCCCATCAGGACCCCAGCGGCGGGAGAAACAGGACCAAGATGAGGAGAAAGGAGGTCCAGGGACACACAAATGGATAGACAAAAATCCCCAGATTCCCCATGTTTTCTCATATCTTCTGGATTTTCGTCTTCCCCCCTCTTCCCATATGTTCCCGTATTCTCCTGGGAGTCGACGATGAACTGTGTCCATGTGCTTGCTCCCCTCCTGCAAAGAAGGGGGAGGGCGAGGAGGAACGGCAGCAGAAGCAGGAGCAGAGGCTCAAGAGGAGCGGGAGGAGCAGGAGGGCCAGGGGGGGGGGCGGAGGAGGAACAGGGAGCGGGGCGACAGCGACGCGGGAGGACTCGGATCCAGAATGTTGGCCCGAGCGTGGGCGAGCGCGCCGTTCTGAGCGGCGGGAGCAAAGCGTCGATTCGATAACGAAGCCAACACTGCAGCGGGATATCACCGCTGAACACAGGCCGCTCCGAATGAGAACAGCATGAAACAAACGACACACATTTGCAGCCCTGTGCGCCAAAGATCCGCATGCGGGAAAAATTCTGGCCCGTTCGGGCTGGATCTGGGGAGAAACTGAGAACAGCATCCACATTGAACAAATGTCGAGGTGGGAGAATGGGCAATGGGGGGAAGGGGTGGCCAGGGGAGGGAGCAAGGGAGAGGCAGACGGGAAGAAAAAGGAGGGGGAGGGGATGAGAGACAGAAGGGTAGGAGGGAGGGCGTGGGAAGGGAAGTGGAGGGGCGAGAAGAACAGGGGAGGGGAAAGGAGGGGTGGAAGGGGAGGGGAAGGAGGCGACGAGAGAGGGCGCTGCCGGGGCCATCGTCGAAGGCCTCCTGGTGCTGGCAGGCGCCTGCCACCGACTTCAGCTGCCCCTTCCCGCAGAACTCGACATGGTCGTACACCATGTGGGGCATGCCCCCGTCCTCCCCATAGGCTCAAGCACTTGTCATACTCCTCCTCCTCCTCCTCATCATCATCATCATCATAATCATCATCATCATCATCATCATCATCATCATCATCATCATCATCATCATCATCATCATCATCATCATCAGTATCATCATCATCATCACCATCATCATCATCATCAGATGTCTGCAGTCGTACTCGGACAATGAGCACGCATGACTATGCTATGTAAATATAAACACATAAACAACATATCGATACGTACATACAGAAATGTATAGATATGCGGCTACGAAGAATACAAACACACATAGACAACGAAGCTATATCTATCGATATGTGTGTCCATATTAATGAATGTGTGAATATGTGTATATATATATATATATATATGTGGTCCCCCCTGTGGTGTGCCTCACTCTCTGCGTTCTTACCCGAGCGGCGTTCGTGCTTTGAGCTGTTGCTGCCAATATGTGGCGTTCGATTCCCTGTGTGGCGGGTTACATAAGGACTCTGCGGTGGAGTACAAAAGAATTGTTCATGGGAACTTACAGAAGATCTGTGGCGGCAAAACATAAATCCACGCATGGCGGGAACGGCATAGAAACCAACAACAGAAACAAAGCCAACAAAACCCAATGAACAACCAACAAAATCTCCATGGCCACCAAAAAACAACGGCACCTAGATTTCATCAGTTCTTCACATCCAAACTGAACAATTTCTTGTGGCGGGTAAGACAAAGATTATTGTTTTTGGCAGCGTTACGAAAGGATTCCTTGTTACCAAAGGATTCCTATTTTGGCGGATTGCAAAAGGAGTCCTTTTGCGGCGGCCCGGAACAAAGGGCCCCCTTTGTGGCGGCAAGGGCAAGGAAAACCAACAAAGGCAGCAAATCCACCAACACCAACAAATCCCCAGGAGAAACCAACCGAACCCCCCTGGTCACCTTAAAATGACGTAACTTAAGTCCTTTTTCATACCATACAGAATACTCCCACCAGCCCTCTGGGCGTCGGTGGTTTCGAGCGTTTCCTCTTCCACCCCTCCCTCTTCCCCTTCGGGGAGGGGTTTACCCCTCCCCCTACCCCCTCCCCACTGACCTGGACAGGAGGGGCGGGGAGCGGTCAGAGCGTCCAAAACGGCCTCGCCGAGGAAGCCAAAATCATTGATTTTACCATGGTTTTGGCCCCATTTTGGCCTTCTGAGGGGGCAGGGCTAATTAAAGCTCCCCTCTTCTTTGAAGCCAACATCCTTGATTTTACTGAGGTTTTGGCCCCATTTTGGCCTTCTGAGGGGGTAGCGCTAATTAAAGCTCCCCTCTTTTTTGATCGATTTCCTCCAAGATGGCCCCAAGAAGCGCCCAGGAGGCACCAAGAGGCCCCAAGATGGCCCCAAGATGGCCCCAAGAGGCCCCCAGGAGGCCCCCAAGAGGATCCCAAACGGCCCAAAGAGGCCCCCCCGAGGCACCCAAGACGCCGAAAAGCCCCTCAGGACGACCCTCTACTCGCCTGGGCGTCGTTTCTGGACGGGCTGGTGGGGATACGCGAAGCGTCTAGAATTGTATGTGACACGGGAGTGGCAGCCTTACAAAAGAATGCTTTCTGCGGCGGATTCCGAAAGAGGATTCCTCTTGCGACGGGTTACAAAAAAAATCCTGTCGTGGCGGCCGTGTGGAAGGATTCCGTGTGTGACGGCCTTGCCAAAAGGATTCCTTCTGCGGCGGCCAGGGCATGGAAAACCTACGAAAGCAAAAAAAAACACACACACACACACACACGACAACACCTACAGAAAAACCAACAGAACCTCTCCGGCCACAGGAGAAAACCAACAAAACCTAGGTTCCGTCAGTTGTCCCATTCCAAACCAAAGGGTTCTTCCTGCGGAAGGTTATAAACCGATTTCTTCCGTGGCAATATTACACAGAAATTCCTCTTGTGAGGGACTACACGTTGATTATTGTTCTGGCACCGTTGCAGAAGAATTCCTTGTGTGGCGGCCTGACCTGACAAAATGATTCCCTCTGTGGCGGGCAGGGCACGGAAACCCAACAAAAACAACAAACCAACAACACCAAATGGAAAACCAACAGAACCTGGCCACGTAAAAATCAACGAAGCCGAGGTTCCTTCAAGCTGCTGTTTCGCTACAAAATGATTCCCTTCGCAACCCGCCATAAGAGGACTGCTGTTGTAACCCGCCACATAAGGATTCCTTTTTGCAAGGCTGCCACAAGGGGAACCGATTGGTAACCCCTCCTAGGTGTGGTTCGTTTTTTGGGTGGCCAGGGAGGTTATGTTGGCCTGTTCTTGGGCATTGTTGGCTGCGTTGCTTGTGTTGGCCGTCCCCGCCATTGCCACCTCAAAGGGGATCCTCTCGCCACGCCGCCACACAAAGAATGCTCGTGTAACCCGTCGCAAAAAGAATCCTCGTGTAACCCGCCACTAACGGATTCCTGCTGTACCCCACCACACGAGGAATCATGCTGTTGGGAATGGAAAACCAACGAACCCTGGGTTTCGTGTGTCTTGTTTTCGTAGGCCAGGGAAGTGTTGTTGGTTGCTCTTTGGGTGTTGCTGGTTGTGTTACTTTTGTTGGGTTCCCATGCCCTTCCCACCATAAAAAAAGGAATCCGTTGTTCATCAGGCCGCCACACAAAGACTCCTTTACAATCCGCCACAAAAAAATCCGTGTGAAACCCACCACACAAGGAATCCGTGTGCTACGATGACACATAAGGAATCATTATGCAACCCGCCACACAAGGAATCCGTTTGCCTGGCATGGAACAACTAACGAAACACAAATTTCGCTAGTTGTGTGAAGGGTTGGAGGGACAGGGAGGTCGTATTGTTTGTCCTCGGGTGTTATTGAATGCGTTGCGTTCGTCGGTTTCCCACGTCCTTCCCGCCAAAAAAAGAATCAGTTTTGTCAGGCCGTCATGAAAAAATAACCCCACCAGCCCTCTGGGCGTAGGTAGTTTAAGGAATGGTTTCGTCTCTCTGCCAAAGCTCTTCCCCTGCCAGGGGGAGGGATTCATCAATGTCCCCTGTTAATATACACCCCTACACCCCCTACCCCAGGCGACCAGCGGCCAACCAGGAACCATGCGCCCCCCCCCCCACCCCACAATCCCTGTCGAAAAAACAAAACAAAACGCACTCTGCCTCCACATTTGGAGCACGCGTGGCCAACCCGATGCGCCCCCCCGTCCCTGACAAAAAACAAATCAAAGTACACGTCGGGGCAAAGTCTTGAGTCGTGTTAGTGAGGCCCGCGAGCACTTTGTCGTGTTGTTGCCAGGGGCGGCGGGGGTGACAGCGTATTGCCTGCTGCGCGCAAGGTTACCATCCCTAACAAAAAACAATACAACATGCACCTCGTGGCTAAATCTGGGTCATGCGCGGCCACCCCACAATCACTATCAAGTGTTTTTTGTCAGGGGCGGCGGGGGTGGTGGCGTATGGCCTGCTGTGCAGAGGCCCACCAGACACAATGATGGGTATTGCTGTTCGACAAGGATGGTGGGGGCCGACATGGTTCCCGATGTGTGCTGTCACGTGCGCAGGCGCACCTGACACACTCTGCGCGTGCCCCGAACGTGGCGCGCCTGGCGCGGCTGGAGTATGCGGCACACCTGGCGCACGCCGAGCACGTGGCGCATCTGGCGCACCAGGCGTGCCTGGCACGCTCGGGCCCGAGGGGTGCCTGGCGCGCGTGGCGCGCTTGGCACGCGTGGCACACCTCGCCCCAGCGTCGCGCACATTTGGTCAGTTTTGGTTCCCAGTAGCTGCCCATCCAAAGACGACCGCTGACCATGCTGAGGCTCGGGTGTTACTTATGTGTTGGGAGGGCGGGCGGGAGTGAGCTAGACGGCTTGCGATCTAGGGGGTGTCTTGACCCTGGAAGGGGCGCCCCGCAAGGTGCTGGAGAGTCCAAGCTGGCCCAAGAAGGCCCCAAGAGGGCCTCCCAGAGCGCAAGAAGGCTTCCAACATTGCTCCAGATGGCTCAAGGTGGATCAACGTAACCTCTGGTCCGTATCCAAGAGACCTCAAGACGGCCCCGAGACGGTTGCAAATGCTATTCGAACCCTCCGAGGACCTCCCCAAGAAACCAAACTACGTCCAAAATCAGAACAAAAAAATGTGTTGTGTGCGTTCTCGCTTCGTCGCTCTCGATTTGCTTTTTAAGCCTCCATATGCCCCAAGAGTGGACCAAAGCAGGCCCAAGTGGGGCCGATGGGGCCCCCCAGAGGGCCAAATGAACCCTCAAAAGCGTCCCAAGAGCGCACCAACAGGTATCCAAGATGCAATTTGGGAGCCTCCGAGGGGGGGAGGGGAGGGGCATGAATTCATGACCCCCCTCTTTTTAAGCCACGGGGCCCGAGGGAGCCCCAAAAAACCTCCCAGACCCCGCAACCCCCCAGGCAGCCCCAAGAAGGCCCCGAGAAGGCCACTTTTCAGCTTCCCGACGCTCCAACGCGGTCCAAGCGGCCCCCAAGACCGCTCCAAGACGGCCCAAGGATCTCCAAGAGGGCCTCAAAACAGCCTCAAAACAATCCCAAAACAGCCCAAGAGAGACCCAAGCCTGCCCAAGAGGCCTCGAAGGCAGCCCAAGAGGCCCCCAAGGCGGCTCCGAGAGAGGGCACAGACGGGGGACCCGAGCGGCCATTTCGAACTCGTTGCCCGTAGAGGCCCCCAAGAGGCCCCAAGAGGCACCCAGGAGCCCCATTGAGGCCCCAAGAGGTCCCAAAAATACCGCCAAGAGGACCCCGAGAGGCCTGCCACAGCAAGAAGCCTGCCAAAGAAGATTTTTGTCCACGATCGGGATTGGCTCCAGAATACCCCCAAGAAGCTATCGAGAGGCAAGAGGCGTCTTGTCCACGACCAAGCTTGGCTTCGAAACACCCCCCCCAAAAAAAAGCCATCGAGAGGCCGCATCCTCGTCCTCATCCTCCCCTCGTCATCCTCCTCTCATGCTCTCCTTCCTCCTTCTCGCTCGCCACGGA